GGTTTCACCATGTTGACCAGGATGGTCTCGATCTCTTGACCTCATGATCCACCCGCCTCGGCCTCCCAAAGTGCTGGGATTACAGGCGTGAGCCACCGCGCCCGGCCAGGGAATTTTTGTATTTTCTAAAAATCAGAGATAAGTGAGATGTTATTATGTAAACACCTTTTAAAATATGTATAGAGGTTGCCAGATTTGTTTTTAATTAGTATATTTGGAAAAATACAAATGCATTCTCATTTGTAGGAAATTTATATAATACAGTTAGAGTGAAATTTCCCCATTCCTACTTCCTTTCTGAAAAATGTTTCTCTCTCTTCCCAGACTTTTTCCATGCACTAAAAACGTATAATACTTCTAGAAATATAAACTTTTTTTCAAAAATGGATCATGCTGTATTATTTTGCAAATTATTTTTCCACTTAATGCATTTTAGACATATAAAATGTGTGTATTTGTGTACACATATTTATATTTACATTATTTCATTGTTTAAAAATTTCTGCCTAGGATTCTATTGAATGACTATTATATGGTTTATTTAACAGCTTTTCTATTGAGACATTAGTTGTTTTTCAGTTATCCACTATTACAAACAGTGGAATCCATTTAATTCTTGTGTATTTCTCTAATATAGATACTTAACTGTGAAGATATATAATTTTAATTGTTTATAAAGACATTCAAGCCAGGCCTGGTGGTTTGTGCTTGTGGTCCTGGTACTTGGGAAGCTGAGGCAGGAGAATTACTTGAACCTAGGAGGCGGAAGTTGCAGTGAGCCAAGATCGCGCCACTGCACTCCAGCCTGGAGTGTTGAGAGTGAGACTCTGTTTAAAAAAAAAAAAAAAGACATTCAAAAGAGGCAGACTAGGCCCGGGTCGGGTGACTTGCTTGTAATTCAAGCACTTTGGGAGGCCGAGGTAGGCGAATCACTTGAGGTCAGGAGTTCAAGACCAACCTGACCAGCATGGCAAAACCCCGTCTCTACTGAAAATTAAAAAAAAAAAAAAAAAAAAAAAAAAATAGCCAGGCATGGTGGTGGGAGCCTGTAATCCCAGCTACTCAGTAGAAGGCTGAGGTAAGAGAATTGCTTGAACTCAGGAGGCGGAGGTTGCCGTGAGCCGAGATTGTGATATTGCTCTCCAGCCTGGGCCACAGAGTGAGACTCGGTCTCAAAAAAAAAAAAAAAAAAAAAGAGAGAGAGAGACTACAGGACTGCCATGTGACTTGGGGATTCACAGTAATAATCAGGGCACTGTGGTCTGGCTGTCAACTGTCCCAGAGGGAGGAAGCTGGTGACGTGGACACACAGCTATGTCCACTCACCTCCCAGCTGCAGTCAGCACAGAAGCTCATTTGACTCCAAGTCAAAACCACCAGGGTCCTGACAATGCAGTGTCTGCTGCAGAAGAAAGTTCTTTATTTGTTATCGGATGGAATGGTGTGACCACTGCAGGCAGCCAGTGAAACGAAACAAGGATTGGATGAGCAGGCTCGAGGGGTTCTGATTGGCAGTCGTGTCCACAGCTGTGCGTGACGGGCGGCGGTCCGTGGTGGAGTGGTTTTAGTTCCTCACGCATGATGTATTCTCCGTTTCTGCAGTTGGCCGCCCAATCCCTGTGCGTCAGACTCTGCACCCGACCCTGGAGCAGATTGAGGAGTTGCATCAGACCTATATGGAGGAGCTTAGGAAATTATTTGAGGAGCACAAAGGAAAGTATGGCATCCCAGAGCACAAGACTCTCATTTTTAAATGACTGGACTGGAATAAGGCCTAAAGAAGGCCAACTTGGGAATAAGTGTTTTAAATACGTTTATTTTTTCTTTTGCCTGTGGCATCAGATTTGCAACAGAAAAGTATCATTTGTGGTGATGAATGCTGATGTATCCGTGGTAAATACAAGCACAGTAGAAGACTGTGGGATAAGGATGGAGATGACTATCAGACTTTTAATAATTTTCCTTGCTTATGAAGGCTAAATCATTTTACAGGCTATGAGCAGATTTAGAATTATTCATGTGCTCTGAAAAACAAAAGAAAGCTTCAAAAAATAATTAGACCTGGCCAGGCCTGGTGGCTCTTGCCTGTAATCCCAGCACTTTGGGAGGCTGAGGCAGGCAGATCACTTGAGGTCAGGAGTTTGAGACCAGCCTGGCCAACATGGTAAAACCCTGTTTCTACGAAAAATACAAAAATTAGGCTGGGTGTAGTGGCTCACGCCTGTAATCCCAGCACTTTGAGAGCCGAGGTGGGTGGATAACCTGAGGTCGGGAGTTTGAGACAAACACGGAGAAACCCCATCACTACTAAAAATGCAAAATTAGCAGGGCGTGGTGGTGCATGCCTGTAATCCCAGCCACTAGGAGGCTGAGGCAGGAGAATCACTTGAACCCGGGAGGCAGAGGTTGTGGTGAGCCAAGATCATGCCATTGCACTCCAGCCTAGGCGACAGAGTGAGACTGTCTCAAATAGTAATAATAGCTAGACCCTTTTACTAAACATCACAATAACTTAAGGTGGCGTTTTCGTGAAGTGTGACAGCTAGTGTTCACCACAGCCAGCCATTTGGAAGACAGTGCGTAAAATAGTTTGCCATATTTTACACACTACATATTTTACATAGCTGGAGAAAATATTTTTTTCTGCTTGAACAGGTCATTTGTTAGTGACTAAAGATACTTTTAATACTTAGTTTGAGCCTTTGGTCATACCAACACATTTTTATACAATAGCGCAGGATTTTTATGCCTTTTTCAAAATGGGATGAATCGGTCATACAAAACTCACGTGGAGGGGAGCTGTCTCCTCACATCTATTTATGCTTAGAATCATGCTCCTTTGCTGTAGAGAAGGAAATCTATTTGGAAGATAGGCTTTTCCACATGATTTAGGACTAGAAATTCTGGAAATTCCAAATCAGGAAATTCCAAAAAGGTTTCATGCTAATAGAAATGATGTTAATTTTCTTCCTGAATGGCCTTTTCATTATAAAATTTTCTCTAAAAGAAAGTGTTCTCCCTGGTGAGATATGTCTAGTTCATAGTTTGCCGGGCTTCGGACTCTTCTCTGACCCAGCATGATCAGGGACTTTGCCCTTCCTGATTACTGATATCCCCTCAGTGCCCAGGTCAGCTTATGGTGCTTAGCAGGCACAAAATAAGTATTTGTTTGATGAATGTATTTGTAGCTGAACATGCAAACAAACATTGCCATTAGGCTGAGAATTTTTAAAGCCGCACCGTAGGAACAGATCTGTTTTAAGATAAGAACCTCCTAACTGGGCACGGTGGCTCACGCCTGTAATCCCAGCACTTTGGAAGGCTGAAGTGGATGCATCACCTGAGGTTGGGAGCTCGAGACCAGCCTGACCAACATGGAGAAACCCTGTCTGTACTAAAAAATACAAAATTAGCCGGGCATGGTGGCACATGCCTGTAATCCCAGCTACTTGGGAGGCTGAGGCAGGAGAACATCTTGAACCCAGGAGGCGGAGGTTGCAGTGAGCCGAGATTGCGCCACTGCACTGCAGAAGGAGAATATTTGCTGTGTCTGATTGTTCTGCACCAGTAATCAACAACTGGTAAACCAATTGATAGGGAGCAAGTCAGAAAGAGGTTTCTGATAATTAGTCACTAAGTGTTAAGTAACTAGTCAGTGGACAAGAAGAATGTCTTTTCTAAACCATGTCCACTGCTAGATGTGGGTATTTGTAGGCAACTTCATGGAGTAGCCTCCCCACTTGTTGGAAATATGTCTTCAGGTTTCCAATCTTTAAATACTTAGCTTTGGATTAGAGCGCAGATTGAGATTTAGTCACGGCAAAGCTCAATCATGCTGGGTAATGCCTTAAGAAGGAAAGCATGTCACCCCCCCCCCACCAACACACACACACACACACACACACACACACACACACACACAGACATACACACAACCCCCAAACTTCTCAGTTGTTCTCCAGGACATTTTTTAGCCCCTCAGCTTTTTGATTTCACGCTTGTTGAGCAATCCAGGAGTCCACTGACCCGTGAGCTTGAAATTATTTCAATTTTGATCAAAGCAGGGCCTTTCACTTATTTNTAGCCTCCCCACTTGTTGGAAATATGTCTTCAGGTTTCCAATCTTTAAATACTTAGCTTTGGATTAGAGCGCAGATTGAGATTTAGTCACGGCAAGCTCAATCATGCTGGGTAATGCCTTAAGAAGGAAAGCATGTCACCCCCCCCTCCACCAACACACACACACACACACACACACACACACACACACAGACACACACACACACAACCCAGAAACTTCTCAGTTGTTCTACAGGAAGTTTTTTAGGCCAGAATCTGTTTGATTTCACGCTTGTTGAGCAATCCAGGAGTCCACTGACCCGTGAGCTTGAAATTATTTCAATTTTGATCAAAGCAGGGCCTTTCACTTATTTTTAAAAACCTGTGAGTTGGGCCAGGCGTGGTGGCTCATGCCTATAATCCCAGCACTTTGGTAGGCCGAGGTAGGCAGATCACTTGAGGTCAGGAATTCGAGACCAGCCTGGCTAACATGGTGAAACCCCGCCTCTACTAAAATATACAAAACTAGCCAGGCATGGTGGTGTGCACCTGTAGTCCCAGCTACTTGAGAAGCTGAGGGAGGGGAATGGCTTGAACCCAGGAGGCGGAGATTGCAGTGAGCCGAGATCGCGCCACTGCACGCCAGCCTGGCGACAGAGCAAGACTCGTTTCACAAAACAAAACAAAACTAAACTAAACAAAAACCATGAGTTGTATCCCCTTGGAGCAGGTTATTAAAAGCCCATGCCACATCATCTTTGCGATTTCACAGAGGTATGAGTTTTAATCTCACACTTAGTATTGAGAGGCTAAGCTGACCATCTGACATCAGCTGAATTATCTGTCAGGCAGTTAAAGCCCATGCTTGTAAATCAGAGGCATTAAAAAGTGAAAAAAGTTTGCTCACATGAAATTATCTAAAACTTTGCCATTAAAAATCTAGGCATAAGCAACTATAATTTTGGCAGTGTAATGGAGTGTAATTTTCATTATACCTGGTAGGGGACGGGGATGATGGGGTTATCTCTTTACATATTGCAATATCTAGAGATCTTAATTCAGCCATGCCAGAAATCTATTCATGTATGCAAAGCATACCTGTAAGTTCCACATAGTCCTGTAGATTGCAAATGAATTTTTTGATATGAATTTTTGCTACCAGACAACTGTTGGACATATTCACTAGTATGGTTTGATGGAGATCTCGTCCATTGTAAAGGTTCCCATCAACTAGGTAATTGGACATAAATTTTAAACAGCAGGTGGGTAGAGTGGCTCATGCCTCTAATCCTGGAACTTTGGGAGACCAAGGTGGGTGGATCACCTGAGGCCAGTAGTTTGAGACCAGCCTGGGCCAACATGGTGAAACCCCATCTCTACTGAAAATACAAAAATTAGCCGGGCGTGGTAGTGCACACCTGTAATCCCAGCTGCTCGGGAGGCTGAGGCAAGAGAATCACTTGAACCCTGGAGGCAGAGGTTGCAGTGAGCCGAGATTGCGCCACTGCACTCCAGCCTGGGTACAGCCTGGGTGACAAGAGAGAAACTCCATCTCGAAAAAAATAATTTTTTTTTTTTAAACAGCAAGGCCAAACAATGATAACAGAAATAACCGTGGAACACTGTAAGAGAAACATTTCCTTGGGAAAACGTGCATGTATGCTGTTTGATTTGGACATTTTTCCCTGTGTTTGCATTGCATACTGGGTACAGCCTGAGTCCTTGCTTTTGTCTTGCAGCTAGAAGCATATGAAATTGTTGATGACCAGCTAAGTCTATTATGCTCACATTGAAGGTTGCAGCTTCAGTGCTTATGAAGGACAGCCAGCTTTGCCCTTTCAAAGGGGAACAGCAAATGATGCTAGATGTTTTGCTGCAAATCCCTGGCAACTACTATGAAAACAGTCCAAATGTGTATACTTTAGGGATGACAGGTGAACCTTTATTGTATGCATAGGATTAAAAGTGAAATCCCTGCTTTCCGTAGAATGTACTTTTCTATCATAAGAAACATGGAGATGGAATCTGGTTACAATGTCCACACATCTGTAACTTTACATTTCTTTCAACCATCTCACTGATGCAGCCTACTAAAATTTGTGATAAAGATGAAAACAGTTTTGGGGTGCATTCGCTCTACATTTTTCATCTGACAAGAGATACCATTGACAGGATTTGTTGATTGGCTGCTTTTTCCAGTAGCCCAAGATAGCTGGTTTTCATATTTGTAGGTTTTTTTGTTGTTGTTGTTGTTTTGTTTTTTTTTTGAGATGGAGTTTCACTCTTGTTGCCCAGGCTGGAGTGCAATGGTGTGATTTCACATCACTGCAAACTCTACCTCCTGGGTTCAAGTGATTCTCCTGCCTTAGCCTCCCGAGTAGCTGGGATTACAGTTATGTGCCACCACGCCTGGCTAATTTTGTATTTTTAGTAGAGATGGGGTGATTTCACCATGTTGGTCTGGTCTCAAACTCCTGACCTCAGGTGATCCGCCCACCTCGGCCTCTCAAAGTGCCGGGATTACAGCATATTTGTTTTTTTTTAACCTAAATGGCCAAATGTCTATTTGTAGAGCTGGAGGAGTTATTTCAAGTAGAATTTGTGTATCTTTGTAAGGGAGAAAAACAGAGCGACTTCTAAAATAACCAATCGGTTGCTCTAGTTTCTCTAGGAGAGCAAACACAGAGCAGTTCTTTATATTAAAAACAGGGATTTCTCTAGCGTCTTATATTTTTGTTGTTATAGTCAATCCTTCCCAAACACCTGCAGCTTAGTGCCTTACAATCTTATAGCAAAAGGATAAAGTTTATCTCAATCCATGTTAACCCATAGGATGATGACTTCCTCAGTAGCCGAATCTGGGTCTTGTTTGCATTTCGATCCTAACCCAGACAAAGGTGGTCTCTAGCAGTTTCTTGGGGAATGTTTGTGCACTAACCTGGAAATCTTGTGGGTTGTGCCAAAGAAGCCAAATTTTAGCACTAGAAGGGACTTCGCCATCTGCCTAATTATTCCTCCTGCCGATGAAGCGGTTGAACCCCAGTGAAGTTTCATGCAGATGAAAAATAACTCCAT